TATATATATATATATATATATATATAATATTTTATAGAGCGACATAAAGGGATTGTGAAGCACCCGTCGATTATATAACGCGAAGAAAAAGTTAAAATGAAAATTGGAAGGACGATATGTAAACTGATTTTTTACTAAACGATCTAATAATGTAAAATATTTCGTCGATCCATATTTTTAACGAAATTTATTTTAAACTGTCAATGAAAGCACTGCGTGAATGCACCATTAATAGTCTGTCTATAGTAATTGTACTAATCAGATATACACACATATAATATATATATGTATATACATATCTATGTATGTATATATACATTCAATAACTATATAAATTTATCTAAAACAAGATATTAATATTATTATTACTAATAGTTGGCTGTTCGTTTCAGTTCGTGAAAAAATGACGTAAATTGGCGATATGTCATGGATCGTTCCATAATTATTATAATCGATAATACTATAATCTAATGTAACGAAAATAGCATATATAGATGTAACAAAGTTAGCCTAATTTTATGAAAAAACTATTTATGTACATACTCGGATAAGCACTGATGCTTTCTCACACATTTGTAAGCATGCACATTACTTTCGACGCTTATAACAATAATAATAATAATAAGAAGAAGAATAATAATAATGATAATAATAATAATAATAATAATAATAATAATAACAACTAGATAAAAAATTATTCCTCGCGCACTAATATAGTATTATATTTGTATATATTTATATTGATTTCTTCATAGGCACGTATGATATAATTATATTTTGTACGTACGTTCAAGCAGAAGAATAGAATTTTTTTTTTTTTTGTTTAAATAGCCTTATCGCTTTCTTGTATTTTCCAAATGGTATTGATTATTTCTAATAACTATTCTTCTAATAAACGAATATAAATGAGAAGCGATCAGCGTTGCTAAAGCAAAAATAGTTGCAAACGCTGTACATACAAAGAGATTGATTGATGTTCATGAAGAAACGAGAACAAAATAGGCACATCCAGGTACGTAGTTCACACGCGAATTGCGTGCATAATCGCGATCGTTTACTGGACATAGAATATACCGGGTAGCTTGACAATTTAGCGATCTAAATTGCAAATTTAAATCTATGAAAGTCGTGATACCACCAAAAACAAATTTAACAATTGAATTCCGATCGTAAACATGGATAGCTATATTAATTAAAAAAACAAAGAATCCAAAAAGTTTAATCTGTTGTTTAAAGTGTGTAAAAAATTGCACTATAATTGGGGGGGGGGGCATTATCCTCCCTTTTGTTTACCTGCTACTTCTAATCTCTACTATCAGATAATGATACTAAATAGAGAGAAAAGAAAAAAAAAAGTGATAAATAATTAAGAAAAATAAAAATTAGAAAAAAAACAAAATGAATCAAGAAAATAGCTAACATCATATTATACATAAAACAAAAATATTTATACTTATTGTTAGCGTCCACGGGTTCTCCGATGTCGAAATTATTAATAGGTCACTAACATATTAGCGTAACCTTATTACGATATAAGGCGTATTTTAAAAAATGTGCGAAATGCGAGGATCGAACGATTGCTCGATATATAGGGCGCATGTATTGTATGTGTGCGAGTAATTGTATATGTGTATATATATATATATATATATATATAATA